ATGAGAGACAGAGGGAGAGAGAGAGGGAGAGAGAGAGAAGCAGAGGGAGAAGCAGGCTCCCAAGGAGCAGGGAGCCCGATGCGGGACTCAATCCCAGGACCCTGGGATCATGACCTGAGCCGAAGGCAGACGCTTAACCATCTGAGCCACCCAGGTGCCCCAGCATTTATTTTTAGATTACAGTCTCAGTACATATGTAGTCCATTTAAGCCCCAGCCCGTTCCTTTCACCTTGTCTCTTCCCCTGTTTTTTTAAGTTCTTCCCTGACACATTGTCAAGGTAGGACAATCTGTGATATGCTTTGATATCCCAGGAAAGAAAGTTTATTTGCAACATTCTCTGTGATTAGACTGTTAATATTATAAGATCTGGGCTAAGATAAAGTAAAAGCCCAGAAGATTGTGGCTGAGTGGCTAAAATACCATCTGAGATGCCCATTGTGTGTGAGGAGCTCAAGGATATGAGGTTCAGAGGAAATGCCCTTGGAAATGAACCATACATAGTACAGGCAGTTTTCAATGTAATACTTTCCATCTATATTCATTCTTCCCTGTTTCATATAGTCTAGCTATATTAAGATTTTAATGCTTTGTGAGCTAGGCTTTTGTTGAGTTTTCTAACTGCTTTTGGAAAAAATAAATAAAAATAACCCACCTGGGGAATGACAAGAAAAACCAAAGATCCAGATATACATGTTGAACACAAAAAGTAACAGGTGGTTACTGCTGGAGATTCATAGTGATTTCAGCAACAGTCCAGATTTTAATAGTAAACCTCAGAATCAAATACAGCTCATGCACATTTTTTGCCTAAATTTCCTGGTTTTGTTTTCAGACCCTTTGTGTTTTAAACTGTCATCCCAGTGTGTTGGTCCCTTTGTCCTAAGCATCCCTCATCTAAGCATCCTAACAGATATAATTTCTCCCTAATTTCTTTGTAAACTCAAGTATTTAGTACCTAGCTTTAGTCACCTGTGTCCATATATTAGCTCTATAATAAACCAAGAGCGATCTTCTATATGGTAACTATGAGAGTAGAAATAAAGATCAGAGGGAAATAACTGAATAAAAGAAACATGTAATAAGTTGGTGCTGTCACTGAACATAGGATTAGGGCCTTTCACACTAGGCTAAGCAGTTAGAAGAGCCTAAGCCTCATAGAAATCAGACTTCTCTTTTTTTACAATTAAATGTATTTTTTATATGCCACTCTGGGTCATCCTGGGAATGAGAAAGGGCATAGAGAAGAAACTTTTAAAAAGATATAAGTAAGTTAATGAATTAGGAATTTTGCAGTTCCTTCTGTGTGTTCCCAACAGTTCCTGCCACCAATTGAATCCTCACATAGGAGGGAGAGAAGGAAAAGCCAGGGTTGGTTGCTTTTTTTTTTTTTTAAAGGTGATAAGAGCATAACACTCTCCCTAAATTTGTCTAGTCACAAGGTGAAGTACGATATCAGGAAAATTATTTAGTGTGAAATAGTTCCTAGAAAATAATATCTACTCATTTAGGAAATTGGTGTTGCATGGGCACCTGAGCAAGGGTACATTTCCTTTACTGCTGACACATGCATACCTTCCCCCATCAACCAAATGTTCACAGTGAATCAGGTCATCTGTTGCATAATGTTCCCTTAATGATCTAGCCTCAAATCCCACTAGGCCCTTATCAACTCTGAGTACCAAAGGTATTTCTAGTTTTTGTTGATTCATTCTTTTATTACTTTTAATAGGGAACATACTGGAAGTCAAGCCCTACATGCTAAATAGGCTCTGGGAATATAATGAGGAATCAGATAAGGTCTCACTTCCACCTTAAGCCTTCTGTGATCTTTGTTTTGGGCAGAAAGAAGATAGTTCAGATTCTCAAGTATCCAAGCTAAGAGAGAAACTGCAGCTGATCAGTGCTCTCACAAACAAACCTGAGAGCAACAGGCCTCCAGACACCACTGACAAAGGTAAGATACTCAGGGCTGGCTTCTGAATATTTCACGCAGGCTTGGGCAGCCTGCCTCCCACACAGGGAGTGGGGAAAGGTGTTCCAGCAAGACCAATCAAACTGAGGGAATGATGCCTGAGTGCATCGAGATGAAGCTGATACACTTTGGTTTCATTTAGAAAAAGCCCATTTTGTACATGATTTGTATTCCAGACTATTAAGGAAAGAATGGGTAATGTTTAGCTTGAAATAGACTTCTCCATGCTGTCTGCATCCAATTATAGGCAAAAATGTAACTGTCATAGTGTATATTAAACCAGCCCTAAATGTTGTTTACGGAGTCTCTTCATTACTCTAAGTGCATAAAATTTACTTAAAAATAAATACTAGTCCTTCTGAAAAACCATTAACAAATAATGATAGATAGGATTATTGAGTTGGAAAGGCCCTTGGCTTTAGGTAGGGACATACCTAATCAATATTAGCAGATGCCACAAGGATGTAAGCAAAGCACTGGACTGGGTTGGCTTTGACCCCTACTCCCCACAAATATTTTTTCATTTGGGGGAAAGCATTACAACCTCTCTTACTCTCTTTTGGATGGGGGACAGACTATAGTGGGAGGCTTTGTCCTAACATCATGCTGCATAATCCTATGAAGGCCCTCTTTCAGCACCAGCTGATCTGGTGGCACATACCCCAGGTCAGGCTTATAGTATGGCTCCTAGGATATCAGATATCCAATGCTGTTCTTACTTGCAGCTTAAACTCATAGCGTCTAAACCTATATAATGCTCACTTGTACTATAAGAGCTTCCTATGGGCTTCCCACAACTTAAACCCTAATGTTATCTGATACTGATTGATCTTCACTTGCCTACACAACATATCTCAGTCCATGCCTTTAACTTCAGGTAGTCACTGTGCTACTTAATTCTGAACTGTTTATCTTAAATTAAGTACATATGCAATTGCCCTAAAAAGTGACTTCAGTACTGGTTTAATTTGGTGTCAGATTTGATAATACTACAACGGTATGTGTTTGTTACAGAGCAAGTACAGAGTTTCACATCAAAGCCGTCGGCATTGCCAAAATTTCCACAGTCTCTTGGAGATCAAACTGAGAAAGCTGTGCAGCTGAGACCTATTGCCCTACCAGGAATTTCTAGCATCAAAGGTAAATTTTTATACCATGGAGTAATAGGGAAAATGTTCAAAGCTCAAATTTTGTAATTTTTTTAACTTGTAAGAAAATCCTATCTAACATTGAGCACTTCCTGTGAGCCAGATACTTGATATGCTATGCATTACATCATATAATCCTGTTAACAGTCCTGGGAGCATAAATATTCATGTGTTATACCCATTTTTCTCGGTAGGGAAACTGCCTAAGGCCACACAGCAAATAATGGACTGAGGCAGAATTTACACCAAGGCAGTCTGACACCAAAGTTTGCACTCTTAACCAACGCACTATAGAGCCTTCATTCATTGAGTGAGTGCCTAATTAGACCCAGTGCTAAGCAGTAAAAATACAGTGCAAGATACGATCTCACTTTCCTCAAGGATATGACGGTTTAGTGGAGAAGGCAAATAAGCAACCACAATATTGTGAGATTAGCAAAATGGAAGTTGACCCTATTTGCTAATAAGGCCTTCCAAAAATGAGGGGTCCTTTGGCTGAAAATCAACAAGATAAACTTTAGTAGGAAGGAGATGATTCCCAATAAAACGTGTTTGCCTTGCTTTCTTCAGCGTATATGCTGTTCTTCATTGTGATGTTTAGAGTCACCTGATCCTGCATTCGATAACTGCCTGGAAAATCAGCCATTCCCACCCACCTACCTTTGTCTGGCTCTCCACCTTAACTTAGATACTGTTCCACGAGGAAACAATTTCCTACCTCCTAGGACTGGATTAGATGCTTCCTGTGTATGCTCTGTATAATATTGTATATTTGCCCCTGTTTAGCACATGTCACTCTGTTGTAATTTCCTGGGAAGTTAGAAAATTAACTTTACTCCCAGCCCCTAGCATAGTGCCTGGTACAGGTGAATATCTGTTAAGTGAATGAGTTATCTACGGTCTATAATTCATGCTTAAAACATTAAGAAGACTTAAATTATATAGCCATATAAATGCAATTCCTTTTTCCCCTTATCCCCAGTTTTTTTTTTCTTTCTGTTTTCTGGGGAGACAGGAGAGTGTTAAACTGTTGATTGGCAATACAAGTGCCTTCTCCCACTTGCCATTTATTACATCAAAAATTGAGAATGAATGGAGGAAAGACTGTTAGAGCAGATTAAGAAATAGCCATCTTAACATTTGTACTTCAGTCTCTAACATAGGCCTTACATACTTTGGATGACTATACTTTTGAAATGACCCAAAGCAGCAATAAGATTTTTATTTGAATACTACTAACAATTTTATAAGCTCATGCCCTATACACACAGAAAACATTTTCCAGCCAGCCACTTGGTGGCAGACATTGAGAACAAGCGTCCCACCTGCTTTTTCTGGCTTTCAGAGCTTTTGAGATTCTCTAGCTGCTTCACTGGATCTGTCTCAGGACTGAAAGTAGGGCCTTCTTCAAAAGCTCAGAACTCCTTGATTGACCTTGTATTGCAACAGCTTTCTGTCCCTTCAGGCCATTTCCATTCTTCCTAAGTACCAAACAGCAGGAGGCCTATAGAATCTAGGTGTGGGGTGTGTAAATGAAGAGAGGAAAAGGATTTAAGAAGACTTCTAAAGAAACAGAAGCCTCTGACTTCTGGTATTAGAGACTAAATCTATGAAGTCATTCTGTGGGGACACAATCAAGTCCTTTTAAAACGTTATGTAAATAATCAGTCCTCCTTTTTATTATGGGCCTTTGAGAAAATACCAGAAGAGACTGTTGATAGAAACTGTCCAATCCTTTTGGCTCAAATAATACCTTCGAAATTGAAAAGAAGCTACAGATCAGTGGGTGATACTACTCTCTCTCTTAGCTGGGAGAGAGAGAGCACGCAGGTGCCTGATGCTTTATATATACTGTATATATCACTTCGAAGAGATCTGTAGTCTTTTGCTTTTTTTTTAATTTAGATGAAATTCACATACCATAATATTCACCCTTTTAAAATGTATAATTAAGTGGTTTGTAGTATATTCACATGTTGTACAACCATCAGCACCATCTAATTCCAGAACATTTTTTTATCATCCTGGAAAGAAATCCTGTACCTATTAAATAGTCACTCCCTGTTCCCCCACGCCCTAGCCCCTGGCAACCACTAATCGGTCAACCAAAATCTTTGGATTTACCTGTTCTGGGTATTTCATATAAATGGAATCATATGATCCATGGCCTCATATCCATGATTCTTTCAACATGGCTTCTTTCACTTAGCATAATGTTTTCAGGGTCCATCCATGTTGTAGCATGTAGCGGTATTTCATTCCATTATATGGCCAAATAATATTCCATTGTATGGATATACTACATTTTATCCATTCATCAGATGGTGGACATTTGGATTGTTTCTACTTTTTGGCTATTAGGAATAATGCAGCTATGGACATTCATGTACAAGTGTTGGTGTGGGGATATGTTTTCATTTCTTTTGAGTATATACCTAGGAGTGGAATTGCTGGGTGATATGGTAACTGTTTGACTAACAGTATGCCATAGTCTGTTTTACAGGCTCAGTTCCTATCATTAGCTCTTAAGGCCTCACCTGTCCTTTTTACCCATTCAACATAATAGAATCTGGTAAATCTAAAAGGAAAGCCTTGGACACAGAGAATGCCAGCCCATTCATTTCTCTGTGATTATCTGTCACTGCTTCTGTTTTGGAAGGATAGTGCCAGTGTTCCTCTCATTCTTAAAGGGTCAAGAATTGGTCTTTCTGATTAAGTGAGATAGTAATTCTTACCTTTTGGAAACAAAGTCCGCAAAATAGCTTTTAGTACTTTGCATTCAGCTGAGGCTCCTTTGTAAACTGTTGAGTAAATTTAATTATATGTATAGGCATACTGATTTTTTTGTAATTCCTTTTTAACAGATCTTCAGGATTTATTCCACAAGACTGGCCAGGACATGGATGGGAAACTGACCTACCAGGAAATCTGGAACTCCTTAGGTTCTGCTGTGCCAGAACTAGAGACTTTGAGAGCATTTGATTCTGATGGCGATGGAAGATACTCTTTCCTGGAGCTAAGGGTAGCTTTAGGTGTCTAGCCTCATCAGGCATATTTTAGAAATGGGTACATACCCAGGACTACCTAATATCTACTCACCTAACACAAACAGCCCATCGATCCTCCAGTCCTCCAAACTACTGTAGCGGACACATTGCCACCTTTTAACTTGTTTGAAAAAGCTATAAAGAAAAGTTATTTTTTTAAAAAAGAAGGCCATTTTACCTATATGATATTCAGAAATCTATGATTTCCTAAAACCAATAAGATCTTAATTTCAAAATTGCCAGGAAAAAAGTCAAGCCCTCTTTTTTTTTCTCTTTCCTTTTTTTTTAGGAAAGGAAACCTTATCTTTTAAAACTGGAAAATGTGTATATAGAGAGAATAAGCCACCTTTTATATTTCACATAAATTTGCCTTAAATTAGCTGCACTTTATACAGACTCAGAAAATGTCTTTCTTTTAAAAGCTAGACCTTTTCTGTTTGTAAATATTTAAAATGAAAGAATTGTGCATATTTTGTGGGAAGTCGGAAGAATGGTTTGAAACAGGCTGTGAACAAATGACTTGTTATTAAAAATCGCTAATGTTGGTAACAGCTGAAACTATGTCCATGTCTCCTTAAGGCACCGCCTTCAGGTGCTGCTGTGGGGTTTGCCTTGGAGGCTGGAGGAATAGATTTGGGGAGGTGACCCTGTAAGGACAGTGCTGCCTCTTGGCTCAGAAAAGTAAGATTCTGGCTTTTTGTTCCTGTCCCCTCAACTGATCCCAACTTGTGAACTAGAGAAGCCTTGTTGGGGGTTTTTTCACTTTGAATCCTATTTCAGGGTTTATGAGCATAAACAGTTATGCAGTGGGGAGCTACATTTTCCACACTGAGTGAGCTAGATTATCTTCCCCCACCCACCCACTCAAACCTCTCTTAGCTGCAGCTGGCTGCCGTCTCTTATGTAGGCTCCATTCTGAATGGGAGGGCTGCGCTTCTCGGCTCACTGTCTCCGCCCGGCTACCCAGGAGGGGCTTTAGGGGATAGCTTTGCCCCTCATTGTGACCCAGGAAACTCCTTGACATTTTATCTGGAGGCCTACCAAGAAGAACATAGTATGTTCCTCTGTGCACTGAAGCCAAAGGGGTTGTGAAATGCAGCACATGAAATCACATCCGGTTCCCTTATAGTTGTCAGCTCAGAAGTAGCTAGAGGCATTGTGTCCAGAGGATGCCGACCCATATCAAGTAGGCCTGGAACAGGGGGGCACCACATGATGGCAGCAAGTTTTGCAAATCTCTTAACAAGCAAGTGCAATACACTTCCCTTTAAATATTTCCATAGACCTGGTATGAAAGGTCTCCAGACTGGAAGGAATCACACGTCCGTGTCCCCTGTGTGTGTGCTGTGCTGTTCTTAGACGCAGGCTTTGGGCAACACAAAAGGAAGAATTTTGTGAAACTTAACTGTTCTGTAGGCCAAGTCAGGGAGAAACTAGAGCTTTCATGGCACAGACTTTAGTAGAGCTCGTTTCCATTTTCACTTCATCCTAGTTGCCCTGTTACCCAGGGATGCCATTGAGCTCCTTTAAACATTTAAGGGCTGTTTTTTTTCTTTATGTAGTCTTCAGTTTAGTGTTGGCTAACTTTGATTTTTTTTCTGAAAGTATTAACATTTAGTTAAAGCAAGATGAAGTCTTTTCCCATGAATGTGTCTGCTTACCTCATTATGGCTTGTGCTTCTCTTTTTTTAAAGAAAACAAGATTTTTTTGCCTACCTGAGCTATTTCTCTTTCTTGGAAAGGTTAAAATATAGCATAAAGTTAGCCTGGCACTTTAGGTAACTTGAAGACAACTCTTTTTTTCTTCTGGCTGCCTTCCTTGCACCCCCCCCTTTTTAAATGTATATACCCTTATAGATTTTGTAACAACCAAATAAAATTCTAGCAATAAATTGACCTATACTGCTATATTTGTACATACTGTACCATAAATAATATGTCTGTACCTGGAAGGTATTTTTTTGAGAACTGATTTATATGAAATATACTTGAGGGTAATGTAGCTTGTCCATTTTAGTTTCAAATTCTTAATTCATGGGCAGATACTCCGAGGACCCCTTAAGTCTTTGTTGTCTGTACTTTTCTTTTGTATCAGATAGCTACACCTGGAGAAGGCAGTTTTGTTTTTCAGTTTCTCACCTGTTTGTCCCACCTCGAGCTCAGCTGGCTCACATCATCCTGGAGCTAGCTGGATCGTACCACTTGCTGTCACATCAGGCAGAGGTGTTCTGGCCACACTCTCAGACTGACTACCCTTGCTGTGCTGCTGTCCTAGCTCCCAGGCAGAACGAGGGCATCAGGTTGAGATTCATTGGCTTAAGAGTTTGATGAGCCTATTCTTCAGTGTTAATTTGGGAGTTTTATTTGCAAGTTGTCTGAACTTCCCCAACCTGTGACTTTTGAGCTGTACTCAAGCCTCCTTGCCTCATATCTCAGCTCTGAGAGGAAGATTGGGTTTTGGTGTTTATTTCAAATACTTTCACCTTTTCACCCTGGCAGCTTCTACTGAGGCTTTCTTAAGTGACCCAAAGCACAGCTTCTCGGTCCTTCTTTGCTTTTGCCTGTACTATCTGGGATAATGTTTACTTCAAGAGCCTCCCTAGAAATCAGAGGACCAAAAAGGTGTTCTAGGAAGAGAAGAATCAAAGGAATAGAGAACCTGGCTTAGGGATAAGGGTAATGTCCTCTTAAGGGCAGAGAGGGACCTGGCACTTAGGACAGTACACCCCTCACCTGCTGCTTGCTACTTTTCCTGCCAGTGGTGTTTCCTCACTTTACGTTGCTTTGCTGGACGTAACTCCGTTGCCCCCACCTCCCACTGCTGGTCTTGCGGTCACAGTTGAAGACTTTGACTGTGATGGGCTCATACTCATAATGGCCTGCTGTTGAGTTGTTTTTAGTGACAGCTTTTGTTTGCTACACACCTCATTGGCTTACTTACCAACACCAGCTAGATGTGGTCCCTTCTTTCATATCCAAACCGGAACACATTTGGGTATTCCTGAGACTTTATAGAGTGTGTATTGTTTGTTATACGAACCTAACCTACCTTGTTGTTTTCTCATATTAAGAAATGTAAATCTACTTTGCTTTAGTGGAGCTATTTTGGTAATGTATGAGCAATTTTGATTCTGTTTGGAGAGTGAATTCAAGGTCTCTATGACTTGAGCTTTGCTTATTTCATATCAGTAATACAGCTATTTTAATTTATCTAAATAAAACATTTCCTTTTTCTCCCACTGTGTCTGTGATTAAAGGTTCCCCCCTCCCCCTCCATACCTTCAGTTACTAAGAAAACAAAAATCTGCTTTGATCCCTATTTGTATAGATTCCTTTCTCCTTTTGAAAGCAAGAACTAACAGATGGTGAAGAATCTGCCTTAAGAACTGCAGCATCTAGCCTGAAGAAGTGAAGGCTGCTGCTTGGGCATCTGCAGGGTTGGGCGGGGTTGGTAAGGGGAGAGGGAGTCCCTTCCCCTCTCTGTATCAGCCAAGCTCCACTTGGGTCTCCATTGGTGTTTTGCGTCTTGGGGTTTTTTTGGTTTGGTTGGTTGGTTGGGGGTTTTTTTTTTTTTTTTGCGTTCTTGGAGTTTTTTTTTTAAGATTCAGTGGAAGAGCGTGTTGACAAGGAATGTTCCACTGCCTTTTTATACAGGGGGTGGGGGGGTGACACCCATTCCAAGAGAAAGGTCATATAGGGGCTGGGGCTTTTACACACACAGAAAAAAAAAGAAAACTACACGTTTGCTAGGGTTCTAGGATTACACACACGTAAGCAAACATACACGATCTGGGTGGCCTTTTCCTTCAGGGAAGACTACATAAAGCTTAGCTCATTTACAAATATGGTGGCGCGAGCCAAGCTACTCATGCTGTTTGACAAAGTCCAAGTATGAGGGACAATCCTGAAAATCAGGAGACTCCACAGCTGGCTCCTGCTACTTCCTCTCATTTTATTTGCGGCAAACTTTATAATCATGGGATTTTTTTCTGGGGTTTCATGATAAAATGATTTATAAATTTAGTTATGCCTATGCAAGCAATCATAATGAAACTGATTCCAAAAAGGCCGACGATGGGCCAAGAAGTAAAAATACCCAATGTCCTCCAATCTGTAAGGGAGCTGTTGGATCCAGGCCCAGTAAAAATTCCAATTGATGAGATTCCTCAGGCACCTCTGAAACATCAGGATTCTGGGAAAGGAAAATCACATTGTCGCTCCCACAGTACAGGGACCTCCCTATGTTGCATACAAATAGGAGGCCACTTCTGGTATGCCCCTCAAGGCAAGCCCTGGAATAGGATTAACTTCCTTACCCCTACTCCTCCCATTCCTTATACGGGAGTTGATAATGAGGACATGAACAAATGGTATAAGATTAAGGGAAAAAGGGTGTGGGCATCATCTGACAGCCTCTGGGAAAGGATTAAGAGGAGTGATCCTCCATGGTGTCTATGGAGCAAGGACAAGAGACGAAAACATATAGAAATGGAATAAGTACTTTGATAAGAGGGTGCACACATTGTAAGCTATAAATAAAGTCCCTCTGAGGCTATTGGAGGGAGATGCTTACACCTGATCCTGTGTCTGTGTCTCCTCACTCGCTGACGCTGTCCTTTCCTTCAAGGACCCTTCCCCTGCTGGAGCTGGACTCCGGCAATATGGTCAGATGATTTCTTCATTCCCAAAGTGAAGGGGAAAATTTATATCCTGGGGTGGAACTGGGCTTTCTTTTTTTTTAAGATTTTATTTATTTGAGAGAGAGCACAAGCAGGGGGAGCAGCAGAGACAGATGGAGAAGCAGGTTCCCTGATCAGCAGGGACTCTGGGCTCAATACCAGGACTCCAGGATCATGACCTGAGCTGAAGGCAAGCTTAACAAACTGAGCCACCCAGGCGCCCCTGGGCTTTCTTATCTTCAGAGTGGGACCAAAAGCCAGTATTCTCTCTCCTTTTAGGATTGTTTCCAAAATGCACAAAAATATCCCCCATAATGGGTATTAACTTTTGGAAGGTCCATGGATCCCTTTGATAAAGATTTAAAAAAATTAATTATCTGTGTAATTTTAGAGGGTTCAATGACCTGCCCTCCTCCTAAGCCAATTCATGGACCAAGTTAATTACGCCCTGCAGACATGCACGTGCACACACAAACATTTGCCAAGTGTTTTCTAACGACTTACCATTAGGGAAGGGACACCATGGTGTATGCTGAGAAGACCAAGAACTTTGATGCCAGGCAGATGTAAATTTGAGACCTAGCTCTGCAATATAAAAACAATATGCCCAGGGCGCCTGGGTGGCTCAGTTGGTTAAGCGACTGCCTTCGGCTCGGGTCATGATCCTGGAGTCCCGGGATCGAGTCCCACATCGGGCTTCCTGCTCAGCAAGGAGTCTGCTTCTCCCTCTGACCCTCTTCCCTCTCGTGCTTTCTCTCATTCTCTCTCTCTCTCTCAAATAAATAAAATCTTTAAAAAAATAAAAAATAAAAACAATATGCCCTTGGAACCTGTCTCTTCATTTGTAAGTGGAGAATTGTGAGGTCCATTTGGCAGTTTTCTTGTATTAGACATAATGTAGAGACGACCATAAAAGAACTCTGCATCATCAATATTAATGAAGAATGCAATTTAGCCAGCGATGCAGTGCGGCTCACAGATCTCACAATGACTTATTTTGCGTGTGACACGGCCGCTGTGAATTGCCATGGCTCACGCACCCCCAGCAGCTCTCACTCTTGTGGCAGCTGTGCTAAATGTCCCACAGAACAGCAGTGCCACTGGGTACGTGGCCCATGGTCTGGCATGCGTTTTTGGTCTTAAATACTGAATAGAGGGATGTTGGGCTCATGTTTACTGATTCTC